TACCCTGGGTTCCCTACCCCCCAACTTCTAGAAAGGGGGGAACCTCACCCTACAGAACGCCCCACGGCAGGAGGTGGGGGGGGGGAATTCTGGGGGTGTGAGGTCCCCCCTTCTTAAAGTTGCTGAGGTTGAGGAACCCTGAGTTAAAGGATCAAGGGAGGATTTCTGGCTATGAGCTGCTGCCAATGAAAGTAAGGAACAGTTGGACCAATTCTCGGCTTTGGAATAAGACAATTTCCATGCTCAGTAAGGTCACCTCCTCTTGTGTAGCTCACTGATGGGGCTTCCTCCAAATACTTGATCTAGCAAATGAGCCCCTTGAAAAGTGTCACTGCAGGAGATGATACCTTGTAAAAATAAGCAGAGACAAGGGTTTTAATTACCCAGAGTTGTAGTTTCCTGATTGGTGCAGGTATAAGATAGCTGGCAATAATTAATCCAGAATTCTGAAGGCAGCAGAGAATTAAGTTACTCTTTATTTATCATAATCTTCCCACACACTGATGTTTCAGCTGCAGCGTACTTCCCCAAGTTTGCCCCTTTTTTTTCCTACATTGCTTCACATACAGTAGAAAGGGAGTGTGATCAGAAGTGCTGTCTCTTGAGGTTTTCGAAAGCTCCTTCGCTGAACAGAGCTGAAGATGCAACAGAGAATGCAAACTGGGACCTGCCAGACTGTCCAAAATAAGGCTCTGTCCTGGTATTCCTCACTCCGCTCTATCCGCGCTCACAGATGACTTCAATGACGCTCTGCTCCATGGGCACCGGGTCCAGGCACCGGTGAGCTGTGCTGCCCACGATTTCGTCCAATAAAAAATGCACCAGGTTCTCGTCTGAAACAAAGCGCCACAGATACAGCTGCAAGTAGTAGCAGTCCACCTGAATCTGCTGCAGGCCAAAGCGACCGAAGGTGCGCAGGCGGACACACTCCAAGAATGTCTTCAGGCTGATCTTGATGATGCCAGTCAGCACGGAGACCTGGGCAGCGGAAGAGGAAGAGGACGGAGCGTTTAAGAGGGGCAGCTGAGCCTCTGAAATCCAGAGGCGGGATTTTTCAAAAAGCTTGGGAGGCAGCCATGTTCAAACTCAGAAGGAACCCTTTTAATTATCTACAAATCTCTGGCATGTTTACACCTCTGGGTTTTAGCAGGCTCTACACACAGTTCTGGGTGGCTCCTGACCTCATTTAATATGAAACTACTTACGTTCTACTACAGCATTTTGTGGCCATCTTGAATGCTTTCTGGTTAGAAAGGCAGGATATAGATGGAAATAATTAAAACAACAGAAAACGGTCATTGAATAAAGATTGGAATAAATGTACAATTGACTTCTTCTGCAACCTGTTTTTCAGTTGTACAGGGACTGCAAATCCCATAATTCCCAGCCAACTCACCACTATATCTGAAGAGCATCAGATTGGGGAAAGCTGCGTAAAAGTTTTAAAATGCTCTTGTGGGTGTTCCTATTGCCTGAGTTGGGAGTATGGCCAATTCCAAGCTTTCTATCACAACCTTCTTGAATATCTTAATCTTCGGGATGTATCAGCTCCTTCCTGCTGAAAGCTCTCACAGCCACTGCCAAAACCAACCAACTTTAAAACCGTTACCAGTTCTGCTTCCAAAGGCCCTGAGCTGAGAGAACAAAATGAAGAATTGGGCTCTGTTCTGCCCACCTGTCCTCACCTTGTTAAACTCCACTGGGCTGAAGATATCAATGCGTTCTGAGAAAAGCTTCTGGATGTTGCTCAGCAAATTGGTATCCATAGGGGCGCTGGCCGCAATTATGGTGTGGGAAGAACACACAATTCGTTAGTTTCAATAATCTGATCCACAGCTATGCACTTGTTTGTGTGTGTTACTAAGGATCTTTTTCTGGTTGCCAAAAAAAGTTATTTTAAAAGGCATCCTTTTTTCCCATCCCTTGGGAATACTGTTTTACTTTACACTCTTTCTTTCAACCCACAGAACATCTAGGAAGCTAATGAGAAAAAGCAAAAATATAGCAGTTGGCATTCAAGTAAAAAACCCCTAAAATCACAATTAACTGAATGCAGAAAGCCTAGCCGAAAAGGAGGTTGTAATAACTCCTCTCCTGAAGGCTTAAAAAGTGGGAGCTAAGCACAATTTGGGAGGGAGCATGATTTGCAGCTTGGAACCAATGCAACCAGAAAATCTTGGTGGCTCCCTAAAATAACTAATCGCCCAAGCCAAGTTAGTTCTAATGGCTGTAGACCTAGTATTCTCAGACTGAGCTGAAAGTTGTTGGATATATCAATAAATGCCTTCTTTTCTCCTCTTAAACTCTGTGATAGTTGAAGTCACCATCCTTACAAGGAGACCTCTGCAGAGAGCATCTGCGTGATGGTGTTCCATGCCGAGGACGTAACTTTTCCAGCAGACTTCTTACACGTCCTCTCCCATCAGCTCACCTAGGTGTGTAGCTGGGCGCATAGCGACTCTGCTGTCGAGACACAGAAAAGGTTCTTTTGCTGGAATCGCTGCTCTGAGCTTTCCGCACACCTTCCTCATACAACAGCCCAACCTATGAGAAGAGACAAGGTCAGGGAAAGGTAAGTTGCTAATGTGGCAAGGGAGCACTAGCGCTGTCCTTACAGGACCCTGCACCAAGCCCTGGACTGGAACTGCAGCTCTCAGCTTCCAGAAGCAGTGCAGCTGAAGCACAGAGGCATGGACTGGCTGTGGAGGAGGAACCTGCAGCGTACTTGTTCTCCCCCAGAGTACCCTCAGAACGGGTGGAATCAAAACCTACAGGCCTTTCGTTTCTGTGGCATTGGGGAGAGGGAGTTTAAGGGGCAAAAACAGTGCGATAGAGGCTTATGTACTCCAACTTTCATACTCCATGTATTGGCCAAGTACTCCAACTTTCATTTTGTGGGTGGTCCTAAGGGCTAAGGTAGGTACCTCAAATGTCTGCAAGGCTTAAAATCCTCCAAAACTCCAAACAAAAATGAACATGTGGGCCACATCTCTTGGGGCTCAAGGTAGGACAGAAAGAGAGGTCCCAAAAGGATGCATTTGGCATTCTAGTTCTGCTTCCCCCAGAAAGAGAATGGAAATGCAACAAAAAACACCAGAACACACAGGAGTATCTTTTACTGGTAAGTGAGCCAGGATTGGTATTGGCTTCCAACTAGAACTAAGGCCCTGTCCCACTTTCCTCTTTTTGGGAATTCAAAAGTTGAGGCCAGGAACTGATTCACTTCACATATTAACTAATATCTGGATTTGTACATCTCATCAGGTGAGGCTAAAATAGGCTTGGGCAGTTTGTGCTGCAGTGGGTTGTGAAAATCCAGCTGCTGTCTTTCAGTGTTGTGTTGTCTTACACCCCGGGTTTATTTTTTGGAGTATCGTGTTATGTGAAAACATAGCAGCTGTGCCCTGTTACCTGAAGTTTTAGGTTTGGGGGGGTTTTGAGTTACCACCCTGCAGGGGACAGCCCCTGCCCTAACCAGCGCTTCAACTTCTTCACAGGAAAAGCAAGGGCTTGGCTGCCGGTATTTCCTGCGCTCACCTGTACATCAATAGAGGTGGCGTCTTCCACCACACGCTTCATGACGGCACGGACGTTGCGTGGCTCGATGGTGGTGATCCAGTCGCGCGTCTCCACACTCTTGCGCAACATCTGGGAGATGATCAGGCCCTGCACCTTCACGTAATGGTTTAGCAGCTTCTGGGCAGCCTCCCTGGCCTCAGTACACAGCACAGTGACTGGCGTCACAGGGGAATGGTCCTGTGGAGGGCCGAGATCCAGCAAGAAATGAGATCCCAGCAGTCAGGAAGGCAAACTGAAGCCTCTTTCACGGGGATTTAAAACAGCGCTCCCTTACCTGGAGTTCCTCAGATGCTTTGGACCTTACCTCCCATCATCCTGGCAGGGGAGAATGGAGACTGAAGCCCAATACATCAGGAAAACCTGATGGTTGGTTCAGTGTTTGTAGAGAGCTGAAAATATCAGTAATCCTTATAAGCATTGTAATAGAGGCCAGTCCTACTGCTGCCATATCAGAAAGGGTAGAAATAGGGGAGGGAGCCCAGTCCATTCCCGGTGGAGGAAGGATTCGAACTGGTCTCTCATTCACAGCTACTACGCCAGGCTAATGCCATCTGAGGACGCTTAGCAGATGACCGGACTCTATTTCTCTCTGAACTGTATTTGTTGAAGTAATAAATCCAGCAGGAGGAGGAACTGCAGTGATTAGCTACAGCAGTAGCTAATTTATTTGCCACCTTTCTGCCCAAAGGTCAGATTTATAAATAACACTAGGAGGAGACAGTGGCAGCCGGGGTGGGGAAGTTCAAAGTCCACCCTAAACGTTCAGGATTGATCAAAGCCTGTTTGTTAGAAGGGTCAACTCCATGCTATTGAAGCCTAGTTCCGTAAATAGAATTTGTAATCTGAGCCAGACACTCATGCCTAAATTAACTTAGGACCTTTGGGTAGTGCCTCTAATATACAACTTTTTTTCCTACATAAACCATCTGGATTCCCAAGAGAACTGGCATCTTCCCTCCTCCCCAGTGAGGGGCTCAGCTCAGAAGCTGCACCCAGACTGAGCCATCCTGGGCTTTCCCTTGGGGCTCCCCCACAGCGCAGGAGGAGGAAATGGCACCCTTGGGTCTCGCACAAGGGCCCTTGGAGTGGCGCAAGCAACTCTCAGAGAATGCAACGAGGAAACTAAGAAAGCTCTAACCAGGACAAATTGTGCAAAAGTGGCATTGTGCGCAACCTTTGTCTCTTCGCCTATCATCAGCTTGCTGTGGCTTTATTTTTTAAAAAAATAAACTCAAAGGAGATTGCATAATGCTTAAAGTTTCCCCCCCTTTGGGGGATCTGCGTGCCTGTGACCATCAGTGACGTCTCTGATGAACAGGGAGCAAAATAATTTTATTCTGCATTTTTTCTCTTAATGGGTTTTGAGCTTTCAGCAATACAGCAGACCTAGTCAAATCAAATCAAATCAAATCAAATCTTTATGATGATCATAGACCAGCATGACCTACGATTTCTCTTGTAGCTTGGAACTTTTGCAGTTGCTAGAGCATGAAAAGGACCCCCCACCCGACATTAGGCTAAGCGTTTCCTGGAGAGGGGTGATTTAAGCAAGGGCTTCTTTCTGACTCAGTTCTCGGGTTCAGTAATGGGACTTCTCCTTCAGATCCTATTCTCCTTGCTTGAAAATAATTTCCATTGGCTGTCTCTCTGTTTTGCATGGAACCCCTCCTTGCCCATCAATCTGCCCTTTTCTTAGATGAGTGCTTCGCAACCGTGGCAACTTCCAGAGGTGTGGACTTTAACTCCCAGAATTCCCCAGCCAGCAAAGGTCCTATTGAGAATTTGGGGAATTGGAGTCCACACCTCTGGAAGTTGCCCAAGTTGAGAAATAGATGTTGTAGGAGGAGGGCCATGTTAGTCTATGGTGTCAAAGAATCAGGAGGAGTCTGGTAGCACCTTTTCCAACTAACAATGTTATTAAAAGGCATATGCTTTTGTGAGTTGCAGCTCACAAAAGTGTGTGCATTTTAATAACATGATTATAATTTCTCCACAAGCCTCGTCAGCAGGACAATGGGGGACAACCAGAGAGCAAATGTTGGCTTCTCTGCCTGATTCTGAAAATCCTGAAATTTCCCTGATGCTAAAGTTGCTTTCTTTCAGACACCAAGGAAAAAAAAATCTCAAGCTTCTACATTATTTTTGCCTACTTTATAAGGAGTGTTGTCCCATTCCTTTACTGGCTGCCTTGTCTTTTAGTTGCAATTTGAGAGAGCTGGAACTTTCTGAACATGCAGAAACGATCACAGAATCTGTTTTAACACATGGCATGATACACATGTTGTTAAGTAGCCAGATCAATTGGCACACTTCAATTGTCACACAGCTGGAATAATTTTGCTGGCTTTGGTTTATCTGAATGTTGTGTGCTTCCTTTGGGGTTTTATACCAGCATACTGATTTCCTGTTTGCTGGTGAGAGGGTTTGAAGACTAGCCTGGCAAACAGTGTGTAATGTCAGTGTTCAAATAAATTAGACTTCCAAATGCATTGGGTCTGCAGCTCCCAGAATCCCGTTACATCCCTGTATTTCCTCTGTGCTGTTCACTAGAATTCAGTTCTGATGAAGTTCAGACAGAAGAAACAGAGGCCTGCAAGGTTTTAACTTCTGAGTTCGGTCTTTCCCCAGCCTTCGACCCTACCTGCACCAGGAACTGTTCATCGGTTAATGTGAGAATGTAACTGATGGTGGCGGTCTCATAATCCAAGCAGAGACGGGAAAGGAGCAGTAACAGAGCTGGGGGGCTGGACCCTCCTTTGTCGCCTGCACTCTCACAGAACTGCCGCGCTGTATGGCAAAGAGACTTGATAAAGCTGACCACGAGGCCTTCACGGACACCCTGGCTGCAGAATTCGCCCTAGGGAAAATCAAGAGTACACACTAGCGGGGCATCACTGTAAAAAGTGGGGAGTCACTGTGGAACAGGAAGGGCAGAACCCCACAGCACATTGGAGAGGGAATAAGGGTCAGAGCGAGTGGAGACCTTTTCTTTTGGCATCTTCAAGAACGCTGACTGCCTGGGCGAGTCCCTGCAGTTTTTCTGGCAAGATTTTCGGAAGAGGGTTGCCACTGCCTCTTTCCTAGGGCTGAGAGAGAGTGACTGGCCCAAGGTCACCCAGCTGGCTTTTGTGCCTACCCCAAAATGTTGCTTTTCAGTGGGCGGAAGAGTCTGCTTCATTCTTTACAGTGAGTTAAACCTATTTTAGCAGTTAGACTTGTCATGCCTCAAAATGGCAGAAAATCACACCCAATTTTTAGCAGCAGAGTTGGCAGTACTTTAAAGTTTATCTTCTAAAGTTCCCCATCTATGACTTACACCCTTCATCTCAGTAAAATGGCTGAGAGGCATGACAGGAAGGGAACCAGAGCTTGGAAAGTAATGGGGGGCTCCCTGGGACCAGATGGAGGGTTCAGGCTGACTATCATGGCAGCCAAAAGCTTTGGCCCTAAAGACAAATCCTGCACACCAAGATCCCATGCAGGGAGGCAGTCTGGGGTGAGTGTTCCTAGCCAATAAAGGAGAGTCATCTCCCTAGATGTCTGGCAGAGTCAGAGCCTGAGACGCACTGTATCTGTCATGAAACTGCTTCTGTTCCTGGGTGGCTCCTGACAAACCCTACAAAAGCAGTCTGGTGCTTGCTGGAGATTATGGATTTCAACCATCTGGAAGGTGCCCAGTTGAGGTGAGCTGCCTTCAGGAGGCTTCATATGTGCTTAGGGACCAAGGGCAGGGAGGCACCACAGATTTTTTCCCCTAGCTACGATGCCCTCAACTCGTTCATTGCCACACTTCAGTTTTCAATAAATTTTTTTATTTGCATTTTTTCCGTTATAACAATTTTATTAAAAAATGCATTGAAAAGTGTTGGAAACTTGCATTTTTCTATTGCCCTAGTTATAGGTAAATAATTTGCTTATATTGCTTGCTCCTGTTTAGTGTTAAATAAATATAAAGTTTAAAAAGTTTATATTAAATGTAATTGTGGAGTCCAGCCTGGGACATGGCCTGGAAGAAAACTGAATTTAAAAATTATTCAGCACTTACTGGGCTTTAATGTCTCATCAGTTAAGCAATGGAAGGGCTGAGGGGCAGCGTTGCTGGGCATCAGCTGGCATTAATCGGGCCCTGTATAGACTTCCTGGGTTACAAAAGGACAAATCCCTCTTTACCTTGAAGTACGGCTTGTTTGAGAAGTTGATGTCCTTGGCTGTGAAGAGGTGAACGTAGGTGAGGACAGATTTGATCTGGTTGAGGATGGAGGCGGAGATGGTGCCCAGCAGCTCTGCCAGGCTGGGGCTGTCCTTACCCACAAGGCGAGGGGCAGCCAGTGACTGCCGCACATCTGTCAGGCAGTCCAGGTAGAAGCTCTGCAGGGCCTGGAGGTACTGTTGGATGCGCTCCTTGGCTGCGCGCACGACTATCTCCGTGCCTTCGGCTGCTGCCCGCGAAGCTGGCAAAAGTTTGGCCAATGCCTGCAGGCGCCGGTGAAAGCGGTCCAGCGCCCGCACCAGCAGAGAGTTGTCCCCCACACCTTTTTCCAGCTGGATGCGTCTCTCCACCAGGGCAAAGTAGCGCTCCATCAGGCCATCTACAAAAGCCACCAGCTTGTCGTGGGCCATGCGGGCAATGCCCTGGGCGCCCTCCCGGTTGATGAACAGCTCCTGGTACGAGGCAATCACCAGGCAAATGTTGCTGACAAAGCTGTTGCAGCCGCGGTCAGTGAATTCAAGGATGTCGGTCGCTGGGCCAGCCCCGCCTGGCTGCAGCCCATCTCCCAGCTCAGGCTCCAGGGACTGCAGCTCGCCCTCCAGACGGCAGTGGGCGTGGGAGAGGAATTCATCGCACAGTTCCTCGGCTGGCTCACCCAACTGCAGCAGCAGTTCCACGCATTCGGCTAAGTCCTTGGCACCAGAGCCTCCATCCCTAGAGGAAAAATGGGGGGGGACCCTAAGGCTTAATTGCAGACCTTTTTTCTCATATTTGTGTAAGAAAATACAACATCTTTAGATTTATATGCTGAATTTCCTACAGGACCACAAGGACCCCTGTGGGAAATTGCACTCCTTCATCCCACCTTTACCCACAAATGTGCAACAGGCTGGGTTGAGAAGCCCAATCCTGGGGTTTGCACAACACACCTAACTCGGTCTGTTAAACTGTAAGCAAACCAAATGGAATGGGTTCACACAACATGCCAAGCTACAGAGAAGCTGAGCAAGGTTGAAATTAACCCAGCTTAGCATGTGCCATGGATGCAGTCACTCTCAGCTGCACAAGCCACAGTCAGTACAAATTTCCAGGACTCCTTGCAGCAAACCCAAGATGATCAACTCAGCAATACTTCTTGGCACAATCTCGAGGCTCATGGCCTCTGTTGTTTCAGCCCTCTGTAAGTTCAATGACCAAGCATGCACACCTTTCATGCCAACCAGTTCCCCAACTCTCATCACCTCCTCTTGAGGCCTACCGGAATTTCTCACGCAGCTTCTGAGCGAGGTCAGCCATGATCTTTTGACAGTCATCCTGGATGCCCCGGAAGGACGGCATATGCTGGTACTGGTGGAGGATGGAACGGGCTTTGCTGTAATACCGAACTGCCTGCCCGTAGGCCTCCAGCTCCACACATTTGGTCAGGCGGGCAGGAAGCTCGAAAAGGAACTGCAGCTTGCGCAGAAGCGCATGGACTCCTGGTGTTGAGAGAGGGGTCCAATCAGGAGACACAGGTTATACTCTTCTCTGTTGGGAAGTGTGATGGAATGGAATTATGAAGGCCAGACTCAGGGAGAAAAACGTTTTCTTTCATCTCCTGAGGCGCGAGGGAAAGATAAGAGGATCAGA